AAGACTACTGCCTTCTGCCTGAACTGCACGTGAAGTGCCTGGCCAGTCCTTATGAACTACCTACCTGCCTGTAGGGCGGGCCAGTCTTATATAGTGCTGGCCCGTCCAGGAGGCTGCCCTTGCCAATGCCCAAACGTGCTAGACCCTGAGGAAGCTTCCGGAAGTTTCCAGGTAGCTTCTGGCTAAAGCCTGAGGAAGCTTCCGGGAAGTTTCCAGGTAGCTTCTGGCTAAAGCCTGAGGGCCTATAGGCCCTTGTTTTTAGGCTGTCAGGCTGAGACGGCACGGGGCCTGTAGGCCCTGGTTTTCAGGCTGTCAGGCTGAAACAGACACGGGGCCTGTAGGCCCTGGTTTCAGGCTGTCAGGCTGAAATAGACACGGGGCCTGTAGGCCCTGGTGTTCAGGCTTTCAGGCTGAAACTGACACGGGGCCTGTAGGCCCTTGTTTTCAGGCTTTCAGGCTGAAATGAAGTCAAGCCGGGTCGAGGGCAAAGCTGACGATCTGAAGGTGGAATCTGGTCGCGGGTGCGACGTGGAGCCGAAGATACCGGCTTCCCTTGCATCAGTACACAAAGTGTACCAAGTATTCGGTCGGTCTGTTATCGTAGTTGCGGTAAATGCAGCCGTTCGGTGGCACGGCACTGGCCTCAAGAATGATCTCGTGAGAGATCGGCCGATCCGGCACCACACCGGAAGATGTCGGTGAACTCGTCAAGCAACCGCACCACACGGGGGTCCGAAGAGAAGGCCGTGGGGGAAGAATTGACTTGGCCGTCACCACTTGGCATCGGTTCGAAGGGTGCGGAAGAGGAATAGTAGACGACACTTTGGCGCCGAAGGCGTCACAAACGCTAAGAGTCCGCTGGTGGAAGTTGACCGTGTGATCCGCACTTGCAAGCCAAGGCATTCCCGAAATGATATCGAAGTCCGTGTCCAAAATGTCGAACGTCACCGGTTCGCATGCATGAGGTGCGAAATACACCGGTGCGGCCTCGAAGTAACGGTCAATAAGTTGTTGCGTCCTTCCGTCCGCCAACTTGATCGCCGTTGGGTTTACCTTCCTCCGAACTTGTGGGCCAAGGCCAGCCCTTTCCATAAAGGCTTGGCTCATGAAATTGCGAGTCGCTCCGCTATCCAGCAAAACGCTGCAGGACACTTGCCCAACTTGGATGCGGACATAAAGGAGCGGTGCGTTGTTGTCGTCATACCGCTGATTGCAAAACTTGCGGGCCACCTTGGTAACATACGCAAGGATGTCCCCCACCACGACTTCGTCATCCGTCAGCGAAGTTGGTGGTGCATAGAAGGATAAGTAAGTGTGGAGATAAGTGCATAGTGTTGCGCATTGCGGTCCCGACAAGCGGCCCGTGGTCGGGAGAGGAAGCCATGCAAAGTCCTCGGACGTGAGCGGGTCCAATACCTCTATGTTGAACTCGCGCGTCGATTCCCGTGAAGAACCACTTGAAGATAATATGTCGTCGTTGTCGGACGGAGAAGAAACCGCATACCTTGAGCTTGAGTACCCAACGTAGGAACGACCCGGGCAGCATAGTCCTCAAAAGAATAAGTAAGAGGAGGACTATCGACTTCCGCGTGCGCCTCGGAATGAAGGTCGATCACTCGCGAAGAAACCGGTTCCGGAGGCGTCGAGAGTGTCGTCGAGTCACTCGCGGCGGTGCTCAGTTTCCCTATTTGTCCTTGCTTTCCAATGGGCAGGCCAGTGTCTCATGGAGATCGTTGTTGCACCAAAGGCAATAATGGAATCTCGTGCGTGCTTTGAATGCTTGCTCGGAGATGCCATATTGGGACTATGGGGCTGTTGGAGCTGCTGCGCCGGGCCCGAGGCTAGATGCGGTGTGTGTCTTCGTATTGCCGCGTCCTCGGCCTCTGCTGAGGCGGCCACCTTCCCGGGCGGCTGAGAGTCTGTCTCCTTCATTGGCAGACGCGGCCTCGCTGGATTGGTCAAACGACGTTGCTGCCACGACCACGGCCACTCTTGGCTGATGCTGGTCTCTGCTCAGGCCTGGCGCTTAGCGGAGAGCAGACTTTGCTCACAATGGCAGCGGAATGTCGGACCGAGGCCAAGAATGGCAAGCTGGAGGATAGCGCAAACAAGATCGCTCTCCTCCTCTCCCATCTCACAGACCTCCTGGCAACCTGTATTACATAGCAGGAGGATATCCACAGCCTCGACGACTCGCTAGCTCAAGTGCAAGGCCGCCTCCAGCAGCTGGAGCAGCAACCTGTCGCCGCCCCCGATGCAAGCTCTTCCAACACCTCCGATCGCCTCGCAGCATTGGAGATGGACGTCGGCTCCCTCAAGGATGGCGTGCAGTTACAGTAGACCGCAACGCAACAATTGGAGCAGCGGATCTGTACCACCGCCAATACCTCGAGTTCGGAACCGCGCCAGACAGCTCCAAAGTTTGACGGGCAGGAGATCTTCTGCGACTCGACGAAGACAGATCCGGTTCTATGGTTCCGCAAGTTTGAGCTCACGCTACAGCTACACAACGTCAAAGAACACAAGCACCACGCATACTTATACTCTCGCTCAGGGGGCGCGTGCCAGGCTTGGTTGGACAATCTCTTGTCCAAGTACAGAGTGGTAGCTACGGACTTGCACACCAAGATCAGCTGGGATGATCTGAAGGCTGCGTGGCACAAGCGGTTCCAAGTCGAGCCGCCCGAGATCAAGGTTATGGACAAGCTCATGGTCTTCGAGCAAGGCACACTGCCGAGTACCGACTGGATCGCCGAGTACCAACGCTTGACGTCAGTCCCAGACATCCAAATGGGCTTCAAAGCCATCCGCCACTACTTCATCTCAAGGTCATGTCCGACATTAAGCAATGCCCTGACTCACGTCGAGGACACCTTTACGACAACGGCGGAACTTTTTGACAAGGCCGCGCAGATCATTGTCACGAACAAGGAGGCCAAGAACGACGTTGGTTTCTTTCTTCATCGGCAGCCCTTGCTGCTGCCTCGTCATGTTGGCGCTGTTGTTCAAGTGCCAGCAGACGTGCCTGCTCGGCGTCCTCTGCCTTCTTCTTCGCTACTGCCGCTGCGTCATCTTCCCGTTTCTTTGTTTCGGTACTCCAGGCCATCATCCGGGTGTGATAGGCCTCGTTTGCTTCTCCGGACCTCTGGTCCATGACGACTGTTTGTGAACGCAACAACATAGACCAGGCCGGGGGCCTGCTGACGTGGTATTCCCTGCTGCTGACGTGGCACTGCCGGCGTGGCATGCTGACATAGTCAGCTGACGTGGCCTGCTGACGTAGTCTGCTGACGTGGCCTGCTGACGTGGCAACTTACCAATGTCGCCGCAGGGGGTACACTGAGACAGGTAGAGAAGGTAGGGCGAGAGGGGGCAACAACATAGGTGGGGAGGGTGGGTGGGAAGAATCGCCCAGATAAGGAGCCACTAATCAAAAAAGAAAAGTTTGAACTCTGCAAAAAATTTCGAAAAATGAAAAAATTCCGATTTTTGCAAGTTCAGTAGGTCTCTCGACCTCCCTTGAAGTGTGAAATGATCAATGAGAAAAAAAAAAAAAATTCGACTTCAGACTGCAAATGATTTATAGAACTGACTAACAAAATCCTAGAACTGCGAAAAAAAATCCGAAAATAAATGACAAATATTCGGATTCACTCAGATGAGAGTATTCGCAGTTTGGAAAATAATACCGGCAGGAGGGATTTCCTGTACCGTTTTCAGAAAAACGAATTTCAAAAAAGAAGATATTCCGAATTTCTAAGTAACGGGAAATGCAACAGGAAATCGAAATTTTCGAAAGGAAGGATATTCCGGATTTTCAACAATGAAATTTCGAATTTTCATAAGAAAAACGAAAACGGAAATTTCAGATATTGCGCTATTGCGATTTTTTTCACAACAGAATAGCGAGAAAACAAAATCCAAGAAAAGAAAAAAAAAAATCGATTTTCGGCAGTAAGGTCAAAATCGTGATTTTAGGGGCTAACTAGTGTGCTCTAATCAACCAATAAAGACTAATCAGCTACCTAGTCCCCGCACACGTGTCAGATCAAGTTGTCCTGATTCACGTGCGGTGCACCGATACCAACTGTTACATGCCCGGTTGGGCAATGTGCATATAAACCGAGGATCCACAATGTGATAAAAAGGACTGAATGAACAATGTTGTGCAAGTGGAATCTGAACTAGCAATGTGCATTCCAATACATACAAAATTGTGTCGAATAGCGCAGGGAAGATTTAGATACAAGACCTGACCTGACCGAGACTTACCTTTATCACATAGTGCAAGATATGCTAGAATACTGATGACTAACCCAATCAATGTTTCATTGTAGACCAAACATACATCATGCTCATCACAAGGTGTGAAGGAGCCTGGCGCTGTACACAGGAAAAAAGCGCCAGGTCCAGACATACACAGACGAAGAGGAGGGAATCAGACGAAGAGGAGAGGGAGAGATGGGAATGTCGTCCACACCAAGTCTTTGTCACAAGTCCCAAATAATCCCTCGTTGCAATGTCTTAAGTTCAAAAGTCGAGTCGGGATCCAATGTCACCAAGCTCTTTCTCTCTTCTCTCGTAGTCTGCAGATGCGGTGAAGTCGGATGATGAGAGGGGGAGAGGGAGATGGTGGACTGAGAAGAGGAAGAAGAAGAACTCTCTCTCTCTCTGTTACGAGCCAGGTATTAACCTGTGAAGTTGGCGCTGTGCTGCAGGTACCTTGAAGACGAAGCTGGAG